TGGAACAACTAAAACTTAGGCTATCACCTTTCCACAAAAAATCCAGTCAGGTTTTATTGGACACCCACTGCATATTACAATGTGGTGTTTGGAAGCATTTAATCAGTTATAAGTGAACATCCAGTTAGAGGTAAACAATACAAGGAAGGTAAAGGTCACACTGAATGGGAGTTTTGCCATTGTTTTCAATTTAACTAGCATTTAAAAGCTACATTTTCTTCTGTTTAAAATTAAGTGGATACTTATTGTTTATAGAATCAGGGTCTTAAGTCTACAGATTATGAAAACTACCAAGATAAGACAAGAAAATGCCTTATTTGATTTATGAGCATTAACACAGAATTTTTTCCATTTAAGTCTCCCCATTAATGCTGTATGTTTATTTGTACATTACCCTGTGGACAAAAAGCTGAATCAGCTTGCCTTCCCAGTTCTCATACTAGTAACAGGACTTTGTGTAGTGGCATCACAAGGGAATGCTTTAGAGAAAAAGGTTATGAGATATTTATACGGGTGCACTGATAAAGATTTTCTTGGCCAACACCAATAGCCAATTATTAACCAGCCATATCAGCCAATACCAATCTGATAACTGATTTACAGGAATGCAGCCAGACAGTGTGGATAGCAGCTCTCTGCAGGTAAATCTTAGAGGGGGAGGGAAGGAACATGGTGGGAAGGGGCAGATTGAAGCCCCCACAGTGAGGGAGGAAGTGGTGCAGAGGCTGGGGGTGCTGCCCAACTGGAGTGGTGAATGGGACCTGGGGCTGGGGTGGGGAGTGGGACAGAGTAGCAGGTGGCTCATCCAGGGGATCAGCGTCTTGGAACTTAAAATGTCACCAGCAGCACTTGAACTAAAGCTCATTAAATGGGCTTTAGTTCAAGCAGTACTGGTACCATTTTTAAGCGCAGGGACACTTTTAAGCCAAGCCAAGCAGGGCAAGGGCAGATGCAGGCAGCCCGCTGCAGGCTCAGGACTCCGCTCTGCTGCCTTTCCCTTGGGAGCCTCGCACCAGCAATGCGTCCCCTGCCCTCCCAGCAATAGGAGGCACAACTCACTGCCCCATACTGCTGTCAGGCGAGCAGGGCGCATGCAGCCAGCGCAAAGCTCCTGAGGGAAAGGCAGCAGGGTGGAGAGCCCACGCCCACAGTGAGCAGCCCACATCTGTCCCATGCACAAATCTTGGGGGGCACATGTCCCCCATGCCTCCCTTGGGGTGTACGTGCAGCAGCAGGAAGCTGCCCCCACCTCCTCACTCCCTCCCCTTGCGCTCCCTGGACAAGCTGCCCACAGTTCTATCCCGCTCCCTGCCCCAGCCCTGGGTCCTGTTCACTGCCCTGGCTGGGCTCTACCCCCACCCCTGCCCCACTCCCTCCCTCACCATGGGGTGCTCAATCTGCCCTCCCACACCCCTATTCCCCTGCCCCCCCACATCCCTTCCCCTCTAAGGCTTACCTGAAGGGAGCTCCTCTCCATGCTGCCTGGCTGCATTCCTGGCTGCATGCATGCGTGTGGCTGCGCACATGTATGCAGCATCCAGGGGCCCCTACCAGAAGGCATTATCAGCTACACCAGCCAAAAACAGCCAATACTCAATAATGTTAATTTTCCTTTTATCAGTGACAATCTGATATGCAACTGATATATCAGCGCACCTCTAGATGTCTATTTCCCCACTCCTCCAAAATAGGAAAATAGTTTCATTTGTATTTATTTATGCAAAACCCTTCTTTTTACACCTAAATTTGAAACCTAAATCTAGTTGGCAATGTCCCTTTAAAATAATGAATCTCAATATAGTCAATAACATTTCTGAACAATTAGGAAAACACATAGCAGGGCACACACATAGGAAGAATATTAACTATTTTCCCTTTAAGTTACTATTACCATGTAAATTATACACCAGCCATCCCTGCTGATGTCATTGCAAGGGGATGACAGCTGATGGGTAAAAGCCGTGCAATCTGCAGGCCCGTATGTCTGGGTTTATGATGCACTGTCTGGCAGGGAATGAAGGGAAGGGGCAGTAAAAAAATCTTTAATGAAGTCACACTATAGTAAAGGGTCTTTAAAAATATATCTATTGTTATTAAAAAGCATTGCTGCACTGCGATACTGAAACACTCATGTCCATTCCTTTAAGTGCTGAGTAGAATCTGTAGATGCATCCTTATTTATTTAGGTATAAACTTCTGTGCATACATACATAGACCCTAGTATATGGAGTTACACTTTTGAACTCTTTTGATTAAACTGGCAGGTTTTGTCCTAACTATCCTTCACTTTGTAAAGACATCAGAGTCAGTAGATCTGTTGTGGCTTACTTAAAAAGATTAGTCAGTTCTTGAAGCCCCATCTATTTCTTTCTTCTAGAAAGGAGTCCAGCCCCCCTGCTCAGAACTGGAGATACCACTAGCTGCTGCAGAAAGAAGACCACCAGTTTTGCTTTGAAAAGCCTCAGCCTCAAAAGAAATAAAACATTTTAGTCCTAAGGCACCAGTGATGCTTTTAAGATGGGATCATTTTTCAAATCACTAGGGAAACAAGGGAAAGGAAAGTAAACTGCAAGGCTGAGAAAGGGGGTGGGGAGCACAGACAGAAATACTGGGTAATCCAAACCACCATGAAAAGGACTCCAAACCTCATTCATCCCCACTCTTGATTGCTTCCCTCTTCTTTAGGCAAGATGACCCCCTACTCCCAATTGCCATATGCTCCTACGCCACCTGAAAACAAGGCCCCAAGATTATTCCAACACCCCAAAATGACGAACAGCTCCCTGCTTGCCAAACAGTCTCCTGCTGTGCAGCTACCAAAATCATCACATGCTTGAACAACTACCCCACAAAAATGTCCTTTCTAACCCTTTGAACATTTGGGATAGATTGGATTTATGTGGGGCCCTAACAAAAAATCTGTGTGGAACCTGATAATCAGTCTCTGCATTTTAGCAGCAAGTCAGAAGGAGGAAGCAGGTCACTAACTATACTAAGCAAGATCATTATACCATGTGAACTACAGCAGACACAGGGAGCCACGTGAAGAGGCAGAAAAGCCACTTTCAGAATTCCTGATATTCATGTCAGCACTAACTGGAACAAACATTAATTACAGAACTCACAGTTTCTTTATTTTTTGATAGTCATGTTGTTATACTTCAACTCTCACACCTAAATCCAGAGTCCATAAAGGATCAACAGCCCAGCCCAACACTCACTGCCCAAGAACTATATCCATTTACAAATAAATGTATCTGTCAGGGTACACAGGAGCAGGATTCCTGAGAAACTAAAGGAAGGTGGAAGAGGCAGAAGAGAGAAGTAATGAGCTGTGACTACAGATGTGCTTGATATGGTAGATCTCCTTAGGGGAGTCTATGAAAAGGATCAGTGGCATGTCCTCTGTCATCACAACATCATCCTTAATTCATACACCAATTCCATAGAACCTCTCTGGAGCAGCCAGGTGATTCCCTAGGATGTAAAAGCCTAAGAGAGAGGGAAGAACAAAGTCCTCTGAGAAGAACAAGAGGAGAAGTAATTTCAGAGCATTGCCCCCTTTACCATCCCACAGGGTGAGGAGAGCACAGCATGCGTTTGGTGAGGCTGGAATGGGTTGATCCAGAAGAGATTTATCCAGGGAAGTTGCTTTTGTTTCCTCTGTTTATGGCAGATGGCACAGAAAGAGGAAAGAAGAGAGGCCTTTTTCCTCTACTTATGAATCAGGGTATGTGACTATAAAGCCTCACTATTCCAGGTGGCCTTTCTACTGTCAGTACTGCCTTTATGAGGTGTGACTTGGATGGTGCTCTGGGTAGCAAGAGGAAAACACACAGGGAAGGAAGCTATTGTCAGAGACAATTTCTATTTGATGACCCCAAACCCAGCAGTCAGAGACAGAAGAAAAGTTGCTTTTTAAGCAATACGTTCATTTGTACCAAGAATTCACTCTCCATTTCTATATTCAATCTCTTGGTGCAGTCTAGGCCACTTAATGTTTTAGTAGTTGATCTGTAGGCCCAATCTGCTACTTAGATACTGAAGCGCCACAAATTGTACTCTCAACAAGCGTTGAACCAAAATTTTACCTAGCTATTTGCACAACTTACTGATGAATTTTTAAGCAGTAAGTTGAAGGTCCACTTGCAGCCCCCTGCCCCTTCACTCCCACACCCCTAAACAGCTCTGCCTAGAGTGGTGCATCTCCTGAATAGTCCTTGCTAGGACCACTCTTATCTACAGAACCTACAAATAGGACAAGTGATTTGGTGATGTGGAGAACATGTTCCTTAAGCTTATCCATAAGATAAGAATGCTGTGCTGATATCACTTCCCAACAGAACTAGGATGTGAACCCTCCTGGCCCCTTTGTGCCACCATAAACCCTTTCCACCACCAAAGGATTTCATTATAAAGAGTCTCAAATGACTAACCCAGTGATTCTCAACCTTTCTAGACTTGAGGCACCCCTCGTTAGACTCATGACCACCTCTCCATAACTTCTGTGAATCAATTGGCACCTCATTTAAAAGATTTACAGTACTTATTACAGTGTAGAGAGCCCAGGCTGTGGGAGGAGGGAACCTCCAGACAGGGAGAGCCTAAGCCTGTGCTTATCTGCTTATCTCCTCATGCTTCCTGCAACATCCTTCAAAGGATCTCCCTCACCCCATTTGAGAATCACTCTACTAACTTCATCTCCTAGCCCTACCCCCACCCCTTGACATTTCTTGGGGTCTAAGCTGCAGAGGTGGTTCTCTTCTAGCTGTCCTGCCACCTGCTTGGTGACACAAGCATTGCCTCCCCTTGGTTCATGGGGATGGACACCTCCCTGTCACAGCTGTAACCACGTGACATCTGGATACTCATGTCTGCTTGGAAACCAGGTCTCCTGGGCTCCTGAGAAATGCCAAGGTTTCAGCAGACTGCCATTCCTGCAAGCAGAAAGCAGTCAGACCTAGTGGGGGCAGAGATGCTGGAGCAAAGAGTTCAGGTACCTTGAAGCAGTGGTTCTCAGCGATGCTTCTCCTTAGCACTGCCAGCTCTCTTGGCTTCTGCCCAGTCAGGCTCAGCATGAGATTATAGATGTTTTCCAAGCTCACACCTGGGGAACAGAGGTTCAGACGACTTCTGGACCTCCAGGATTGCCTGGTACAGCTCTGCTTGGGGACCAGTGAACCTGAAAGCAGGGGAAAGCAAAGAGAGTCACTTCTCAGATGGGAACTCCCCACTTCTGGGGGCTCTTCTGAGTCAGACTCAAGCTCAGAGCTGTAGACCTAACAAAGCAGTGTAACTGTTGCTCACCAATAGGCCAGGTCAGGTAGGATATTACTGAGGTCACCTCTTTCTATGTTGGGGGAGAAGAAGAGATCTTTATTGGCATCAGGGCAGAGCAAAGCCAAAATCTGAAGGGAACTTGAGCAACTGGAGCCAAGCAACCATCCCAATGACACACTGGTGGTTGATGTTCATGACTTGAGGCAGGCAGGCCCTCACACAGAGACTGACCAACCTTTCCTACACCTCCCGCACATGCCCAGAGTCAGCACACATAGAATAAACAGCAAGCCCTGACTCTGCAGGTTAGCTTCACCCTCATAGCTGCAGTAATAAAGCAAGTTAAAAAATAGCAACCACATTGATGTGTTAAAAGTACACAAAAACACACACATGCACACACTCCTCACAGCCCTAAAACTAGCATGTGGTGCATTTCTCACTCTAAGGATCCAACCTGTTTAAGGGGTAAAATGTGGGTGCAGCCATTCAAAGGACAGGAACATGCTGGTATCTAGCATATGGTAAAAGCACTACTCCAAAAGTAGAAGGGTCAGTAGTTCCCTTCCCTTTCCCAGCATTTTGTTTACATGTTAATGTTTTGTGTGTGCAGAATCTCTTGCATGCACTGGCAGCAGCACGTAAGAATACCACAAAATCTTACGGTCAGAAGTGACTTCACTTCAGAGTGTGCTGTTGTTGCTTTTGGCTCTTGTTAATGGCTCACTCCTGAAACCCCTCCATTTTCTGTCAGTGTAATCCAGCCAAAGGAGCAAACCCAGCCCCCAGTATGTGAGATGATCAGAGTCTGCATGACAATTTTATCTGTGTGGAGAGCAAATAGTATGCAGAAGAAACTGGCAATATTTAGATGTAAACCAATGTGAGGAAGCCTTTCTTGATGTTCCTTGGGTACTTCTTACTGTTCTGCCTGCCCTTTTGGTAGGTGGAGGAATACGACTTGCCTGGCCTGCCTGGACTTTTGTCTAGGACGGTTAAAAGTGATGCTCAGGTTATGGGCCTAAGTGACAGGCGGGCCAGCACACTGGCCACAGTAGTCAAGAAAGTGGGGATTTAGGTAAGGATAAGAGCTCTGTGTTAGGCACACTGACTTTGAACACACAGCTAAACATCCACAAAGAGATCCTAGAGAGACATTTTAGTTTGAATAGATTTAAACAGGTCTGGAATTGAGAATATTCAGAGAAATTCAATTTGTTACCTGAAAACAGTAAGTCTGCATCTCACCTGCACTAGTCTGGAATGCTGTTGGGTTAGGTGAAATCACAAGAGTGAGAAACAGTACTGTATTGAAAACATTTTGATATCAAAGGTCATGTCTATACCACCACCCTGCTGAACCTGGGACCATCACTGGGGAACAAGCCCAGCTCATTAATTCCCAGCTATGTATGTCCAGCCCTGGTAATCAGGCAGAGTAGGCACCTGAACACATGCTCCCAGGTGCTCTGTCTTACAAAAGTCTGAGACTGGCACTGAGATGTGCCCCTCTCAGCTGTCCGCTCTGCCTAATGGCTGGGCTTAGATGCATGAGTGGGATCAAAAGGGCAGGGCACCATTTACAATGATGTTCCTAGGCTTAGCAGGGAGGTAGGTAAAGACACACCAAAAGACTCCTTGTCCTGCCATAGATCTGGTATGTTGCTTAGATGAAATCTTCCTGAGACTCAGGAATGAAGAAGAATCCTAGAGAGAATGTGTAAAGAAGCCATGAAAAGCATCTATTTCAGCACAGAAATCACAATGGAAAATCCGCCACCAGCAGCTACAGCCTGTAAAAACCACAGAAGCTACTGAAGTAGTAGCACAAACTTGTTCGCATGCTAAATCAATACACTCCTACTAATTTTAGAAATCCCTGTAAATTCAGTCACACGAAGAGCAGCTGTTCTAGCCTGGTGTGTGGGAGATACAGAAGCACTGTTTACAGATATTCTAATCTCCACATCTCCTATATATTCCGGTCTGGAAGGCAAACAATCTCTCACAGCAGTACCATGGAGAGAGCACAGGGGAATGAAATTAGCAAAGAGAAATTGTTCTCAGCACTGCACATCCATCAAAAAAAAAAAGGATCCTCTGATGCTAGCTGAAAAAATGCAAGGCCTACTCACTCCTTCACATGTCTCATCCAAGACTTGTCTTCACTCTACCAAAAGAGTGTAAGAAAAGGTGACAAGGAGCACCTGGCTGAACAGGACTCTGAAGTACAGATTTCAGTCAACGAGACAAAGTTTGGAAAGCAATAGCTTCCTTTTTTGGGTTCCTCCTAAGGGATGGTAATTGATAAGAATGGAAGTGTTTTAATTAATTCCAAAAAGGACATTAAGGCCTCTTCTAACATAATGTCTGCACAGAAGCATCCTTTAAAACATTAGAAACATTTTTTTTAGATAAGATGGAAATAGGCAGTGATTTTTTTTATGTTTTTGGAGGGGGGAGGGAAGGAAGGAGGAAACAATTCTTAAAGATGACGAAACTTGCTGAAACACAAGAAAAAAGGTCATTCATGCCAGAACTAGGCAGATGCAACAGCTACCTCCTTGGCTTCCCTTCCATGGCAACAAGAGTGAGATTTATGGATTGACAGTCTCAAACAGGTGGAATTTAGAATGGCAAAGAAGGATGGGTGAATGGACCAGTCTATAGGTGAGGCCATCATGCCTACATGGGAGCAACATAAGCTTACCCCCTAAAAAAAACAATTTAAGGATTCCCAATTAAAAGACACCTTGATAGTCTCCTAATAGTGACAGAAGCAGGCACATCATCTCCCCTGTATTTTTCTTCACCCTGAAGAGCCACCACCACCAAAGCTGGCATCTTGTATCTGTGATCATCTTCATTACTCTCTTCTGGGCCTCAGGTACTGCCCTCAACTGTTCTGAAACAGATTTGTGGGTGCACCCAGTCATGGGAAGCCAAGATGTACCTCCAGTCCAATTCAGCAAAACCCTTCTACTGTCACTGAAGTAGCAATACCTGCCACAGAAAATGATGTCAGGAAAGTCAAGGATCCACATATGGAAGAACTGCTTTGTCCCCTCCTCTACAAACAGGCTGCTAACAGTGCAGTCAGTTCTGTAGAAACTCTGGGTCAGATTCTGTGTTGATTTACTCTGTATATAATCCCAGGGGACTCCACAGCTTGGCAGACAGCATAAAACTGTAAGCTACCCCGACCAATCTCAGAGTGAATGGGAGGAAGCAATTCTGGTGCGCTAGGCAGAATTTCATGATGTCAAATTTTGAATAATTCTGGTATACCTTGTTATCAATATATCAAGATTGTGAATGACTCCAGACTGTAGATAATGGACTGGAATTACCCCTACACTGACTGCTAGTTTGGAATCCAGTAGATGGACCCTCTCACCTGTTGTGTTGGAACAGCAAACTAAATACTGTACTGAAGAGTTTGCTGAGGTAACTCAAGTCTGTAGTTCAAAAGTATTGGAAATCTCTCACCCTGACAAACACCCTGACCTTTTATTTCAAAGAATTAGGTATCTGGGAACATTCAGGGGGATGAGCTGGACCTGGAATCCTCAGGTCAACTCACAGAGGTGGTAAAGTCAAGGGATGTGGTTGTCATGGGTGACCTAAACTACCCAGACATCTGCTGGGAGGAGCAGTCAGCCAGGTCCAACTGCTCACATAGGTTCCTAGCCCCCGAGATAGAGGACCTCTACCTAACCCAGGAGATGCATAGTCCCACCAGGGGAAATGCCTTGCTGGACTTGGTCCTTGCCACAGGCAACAACCTGGTGACGGGTCTGTGGGTACTCGACCACCTGGGCGACGGTGATCATCACCCACTGGAATTTACTATCCAGCAGAGAGTGGTGAAAGCAAGCAGCAAGGCAGAGGTCCTTGACTTCAGGAGGGCCGACTTCTATAAGCTAAGAAGGTTAGTAGGAGAGGCATTGGGGTCTCGGAGCTTCAATGAGATGAGAGCCCAAGACGGGTGGTTGTTCCTCAAGGAAACAATCCTCCAAGCTCAAAGGGAGTCAGTCCCAATGCGCACCAAGCAGGGCAGGAGTGCTAAGAAGCCCGCATGGCTCGGCAAAGGCATCCAGGGATGCCTGAGGGCAAAAAAAGAGGCATACAAACAGTGGAAGCAAGGGGCTATTACACCTCTGTTGCTCGGGACTGCAGGGAGGCTATTAGGAAGGCCAAGGCAGAGATGGAACTAGGGCTAGTGACCAGAATTAAGGATAATAAAAAGTCCTTTTTCAAATACATAGGAAGTAAGAAGAAGGCACACCAGGTAATGTGGGACCCCTACAGGATAGGCTTGACAGTCTGGTGCCTGTAGCAAATGAAAAAGCTGACCTCTTTAATGTATTCTTTGCCTTCATATTCCTGAACAGGGACCGGGACATCTCCCCCACTAGAACTGAGGATGGACCCAGGGGAGGCACCATCATGCCTAGGGTCAGGGACGACCTAGTTAGGGAACTTTTGGAGGCACTGGACATGTTTAAATCAGTAGGTCCAGACGCTCTTCACCCAAGGGTGCTGAGGGAATTGGAGGGGGTCATAGCAGGGCCCTGGCATGGCTCTATGAGTGGGGTACCAGAGGATTGGAAACAGGCCAGTGTGGTCCCCATTTACAAGAAGGGGAGGAAGGAGGACCCTGGCAATTATAGGCCAGTCAGTCTTACCTTGGTCCTTGGGAAGAACTTTGAGAAAATTATCAAGGAACACATCTGCAAGGGCCCAGCAGGGGAGGTAATGCTCAGGGGCAACCAGCATGGGTTCATTGAGGGCAGGTCCTGCCTGACTAACCTGGTTTCTTTTTATGATCAGGTAACAAAGTCCCTGGACAAGGGTGTTGGGGTGGATGTTGTCTTTCTGGACTTTAAGAAGGTCTTTGACATGGTTTCTCACCACGTTCTCTTAAAAAAACTAGGTGACATTGATGCCTACACAGTCAGATGGGTGGAAAATTGGCTAAATGGTCACACCCAAAGACTGGTGGTGGACGGGTCATTTTCGACCCGGAGGGATGTGGGCAGTGGAGTCCCCCAGGGCTTGGACCTGGGGCCTGTACTGTTCAACATCTTTATCAGCAATCTGGATGTGGGTGTGGAAAGCATGGTGTCCAAATTTGCTGATGACACCAAGTTGTGGGGCGACGTGGGCACGCTAGAGGGGAGGGACAGAATCCAACTAGATCTAGACAATTTACAGAGGTGGGCAGATGAGAATAGGATGGAATTCAATAC